ACTCAAATCACATTCTGCAAAACCGTTTCCTTTCATTAACCAAAGAACTCATTGGAACAGGGGTTAGTAACCTTTTTCTTGTAAAGAGTGGGACAGTCAATATTTTAAGCGTAGAGGGTTGTATGGGCTCTGTCATACCTACACAACTCTGTTGTACATTGTATTAAGAAAGCAGCCATACACAATAAGTAAATGAATGGGCATGACCGTATTCCAATAAAACTTTATTTATGGATACTAACATTTGAACGGCATAAAATTTTCACGTGTCAGGAAACCTTGTTTTGACTTACTGTTTCAACTGTTTAATGATACAAAAACTATTCTTATCTAGGCTGCAGGCAGAATTTGGCCCAGGGGCTGCAGTGCCTTAGAACAGCTGAGGTGCTGCAGGCGGAAGGATCCCTGCTGTCGGAATATCTATCTGGGACGCCAGGGCTCCTTCACCCAAGGGTTAGTGCAGAACTTACTGGTTGGGAATAATACACAAGAACTGTCGGCAAGGATGCCGCCCGTCATCACCCCAGCGCTGACTACCTGCAACTGAATCACCTGAGAGTCCCTCAGATGTGGGTTTGTGGTCAACAAGCACTCCAGATGATTCTGACGCACACCAAAACCCAGGTCTCACTGGTTCCTGTCCGAGGCTTAGTGTGGCTCTCCACCTGAGAGTAACAGACTGTGAGCAGGGCCCTCTGCCAGAGCCCTTCCACACCCATGGAGATCAGAAAGGGCAGCCTGGCGTGCCTCAAAAGAACGGGCAGTACATTCAAGGGCTCCATTTGGCAGGAAGTAAGTTCAAGTTCATGCAAGCATTGAAAAAAAAAGAAAGAAATATGATTCCTGAGACCTGCTTTGCAATTATTCAGTGTGGGGAGTGGAGAAGACATGAAACAAGATTGGGCCATGACTTAATAATTTTTCAAGATGGGGGATCGATTCAAGGAGGTTCATTAAAATAGTTTCTCTACTTTTATTATGTTTCAAATTGTCCATAAGAAAAAGGGGGAAAACAGGTAAGAGGCACCCTAGGAAGAAACGCTTCCCACTTCAGGGAGAGGCTTTTAGGTCTATAATGTAGTGCCTCTAACAACTACTTCACGCGAACATCTCTTCTGATTTCAATTACCTGCCCAGGAACCATCCCCCCAACCCCCACCCCGGGAAGAAAAAAGTGGTACTGTTATGTTGACTCAGTCTGTGTCAGCTGAGACTGCCCACCTCTCCAGCTCTTCTTTCTTTTTACCTAGCTCCCTGCAGGTACCAGCCAACCTCTTTGCCATCCTGCCTTTGACTCGACTCTGTTAATTGCAGTGTGGCTATCTCCCCGGGTTGCTACCCTAAATAGCAGAGATGAGAGGTGCTGGCCTGTCTTCACCCTCTCTGGGAAGTATAAATGGAGTGCTGAACTCAAGCAGAGCAATAGGAAGAGGCACTGAGAGAGGCCTCGCCTCCCCACTCCCCGGGGTCCATGAAGTGCCCACCCCCACAGAATAGGTACCAGCTTTCTTAGGTCACAATACAATGGAAAATTGGTCATTTGAACCATTCACCCTTGAGTGACTCAACTCAACCTTCCCAGTAGTCCAATTCAGTCATTTTGAACAAGTCTGCATCGAGCACAAACTGCATGCAGGAGCTAAATATGCCTGAACAAACAAGGCACCTGCCCACAGGAAGCCTGCTCCAATGTAGCAGCCGTCGCATAATATAAACTTTCCAAAGGTGGGAAGAAAAGCATTTGGAGCAAGGAAAAGTACCTGGCTACTGCACAACAGGTGGACTGAAGAGAAGTCAGGGATGGCTTCCCAAAGAAAATGTTGTTCTTCCAATTCCACTGTCAACTCCCACAATCCCACGATGAAACTGTATGTATGTGTGTGTATGTAAAAAGAACATAAAACTCGCTGCCATCCAATCGATTCTGACTCATAGCAACCCTATAGGACAGAGTAGAATTGCCCCATAGGGTTTCCAAGGAGCGGCCGGTGGATTTAAACTGCCAAGCTTTTGGTTAACTGTCAAGCTCTTAACCACTGCGTATGTATATTCAATTTGCTGTGAAATTAAGATGTTTACTGTTTTGATTTTTTTAAGGCTCTCTTTACGTTCAGGCATTAATATGGAAACTTTAATCAGTTATTCATACCATTTAATTCAATCTAAACATAATTTTGTTGAATCTAGAATTTCACAAATCACCTTTAAAACAAATAATTTGTCTTCTGAGTATTGTCCTTAAAAAAAAAAAAAAAAAATCAAAATGTACTATCAATCTTTTCCCACCAAAATCAATTATGCTGCCAGGTTATAGAACAAAACAAACAAAGCTATAAAAATATGAGAATGCAGAGAAAACAATTAGGTGGACCTCTGAAATATTACTGAAATTTTATTCTAATTTGCCATCCTGGGCTAACAGAAGGAAAAAAAACAAATCAAACAGTTGTCATGGAGTCGCGTTTAACTCATGCCACCCCAGGCGTGTCAGAGTACAACTGTGCTCCATAGAGTTTTCAATGGCTAATTTTTCAGAAGTAGATTGCCAGGCCTTTCTTCTGAGGTGCCTCTGGGTAGACTCAAACTTCCAACCTTTCAGTTAGCGGTTAAGTGCATCAACCGTTTACAGCACCCAGGGATTCCATCTGTATCTTGTTTGGAATTATATATATAAGACTCCAAAATGCCTTTTCTTCAAGGATATCATCTGAACCAAAAACAAGGGGATACAACTGTCCAGCAATTTTTTTATAATATTAAAATGTGTTTTTATTTCTCACACAGCCGTAATGAGCTGTCTGTTTGGACAGCATAAAGGCCCACTGCGTGACGGCTTAGAGCAGATTCTTACACTGCCCAGAAAATCCACCAAGTCACAAGCAAATCAAAACTGACTGAATTTAAAACTGCAGTCTCTCCTTGGAGCAAGCATGTGTGAACTCCAACCAGCCTGGTAGCTATCGCATCCTGTAAATGGCTAGAGCAGCCGAAAGGAAAAAAGGCACCTCTTACAAAGACCGCAGCTCTGGAGGCACAGCGGTTAAGAGCTACGGCCGCTAACCAAAAGGTCAGCAGTTCGAACCAGCCACTGCTTGGAAACCCTATGGCACAGTTTTACTCTGTCCTATAGGGTCGCTAAGAGTCGGAATCAACTCAACAGCAACGGGTTTGGTTTTGTTTTTTGTTTTAATAAAAACTACTACTTTAACAGGTCAGAAGTACATGACCCTTCTGTGCCTCAAGTACGTAGATAGTTAAAAGGTCTCGTGTCTTTGTGGAAAACGTGATGAATGAAAGTCTCAGAAGAAAATAACAAACAGACAAAAAGCAGATCTACGTCACTGTATCTGGTTGGTTTTCAGTCCAGGCAAAGTTGCCCAGTGAAGCAGTGATACACTTACTCACCCTTCATAGGGGAATTACCGATAATTAGCACCCTATTTTCTCACAGATTTAGGAATCTATTCTGAGAAACTATCCACACCCAGAGAAAGAAAACTATGACCAAGTGCGGGTCCGGTCCGCTGAAGCTCTCCTCCAACTGCTCCAATGATTCTAATTGTCTGAGCCCAGGCAGCCTGCCAGTTCAACTCCAAAACCGGAGAAACAACTGATTTTTCCTATTGCAACATCGCCAACAAGTCCTATGCTTTCCGTCTCTTTCCTCGGCTCTCAAACACCAACACTCATTTTCAAAATCCACTAGTTTGCTCTATAATCTAATCCAACTGGAAGCCCTCTCAGAACTGCCATGGGTAGGTATCACTCTTCTTCACAGTTCCAAGAGGCCAACAAGCGGCCAATTGAAAAAACAAAGACTAGGAGCCCGAAAAAAAGACAGGTGCCACAAGCAAGACAGAAACGTGAAGACAGGGTAACAATGAGCCAGCTCTGGGCTTTAACAGCTTCCAGTAGCCAAAGCCGTCCCTACTCTTGAGCCCTGGGCAAAAACTCTGCCAAAATACATGGCTACAGGTGAGAAATAAGACTGCACTGGGGAATACAAACTCAGTAATTTGGATACCAAATCTCACTCAACGCCTCGTCCTCACTCCCACTGAAGACAAACCTGAGACTGAGCCTGAAGTTGAACAGGTGGACTGTGCTCAACAAGTCTTTTCTGACCAGTGTGCCCAGGCCTGGAGCTCGCCATGCACAAGAAAGGCTGACTATTCAAAGAAAATCTTAAAGCAAAGTCTGACAGTTTCTAGGTGCCTCCTCTGCCTTTCTCATTTGGAGTCACACTTTTAGCTACAGATATTTCCCTAGAGTATCCTTTTATCCAACAGTTTTATTAAACACTGACAAATAATTGGATTTTGACTGCTATAGGCACTAAAAGCATGTTTCACCCCTATAAATTCTAGCCTTTTCTTTCCTGAACTTGGCAGCCTCACCCACAAACAAAAACAAGCAAGCAAGCAAAAGCTGACCAACTCCTCCTCGCAATAACAATCACTTTGCAGCATGCTAAACTTTGTAACTTAAATCTCAGACGGTACAGCGTCACCTTTCTTAAAGATGAAAATCCATTTTGATTGCAGCAGAAATTTTCAGGTGACATGGTTTCCTTTCCAGGGCATCCCCCTAAGCATTAGTAGAAATGCTTGCCAAAGCTGAGAATTCTTTCCTCCGCTTGTTATTCTCCGTAAGAGGGTCAGACCTGAAGAGATCTGGGTTAAACTGGCTGCCAGGTCCCTGTGCTCAGCACGCAGCAATGGAAGGTCTTCTGCAGTCCTGCGAGCCGGCTACCTATCACTCGCCACTCAGCGGCAACTCGCCGGGCCCCCACTCAAGGGTGCCGGGATGCTCCCTACTACAGGAAGTCCCCGGAAACCAGATTTTCCAAACGCTCTGCCCCTTGCCCTCCTTCCTCCTCGGGCGGCATCCTCGCGTGGGGGAAGCAGTGGTAAGGTGGGCTAAAGTTTCAGGCCCCCGTGCAGCCGGCAGGGGAAGTTCCCCGGGACCTGCAGAAACTCCATCAGGGGGGCTGGACTCACCTTCCCGACAGAGCCCCATGACTTCGCGGTTTTTCCCAAACTCCTTGAAACTTTCGTCCAATTCCGTCCCTAGGAAATACACACACACGAGGAGGGTAGAGGCAGGTCAGTGGCCGGAGTGGGACGCACGTCACGCACGCACGGGCTAAGTGCGGGCACCTCAGCGCTCCCCAAGCGGGCGACAGCGTCGCTGACCCCCCGAGGGGGCGGGCAAGGGGCAGGCGGGCGAGGAGAGCAGCTCGGGACCGGGGG